AATGGGCTAGACAAAGTACCCAGGAACATATATACCAACTCTCTATCAGATATAGAAGGCCGGACTCTTCCCGTAAGATCTCTCCACTTCTGGGCATAATCTTTGAAACCCTCGTTGGAACCCATAGACATACTTTGAAGTTGTGTACGGGTTAAAACAAGGTTATAATTATATTGGTACTTCCTGTAGAAAGCAACGACTAGATCTTCTCAGTTGCGGTTGTTGGTTCTCTCCAGCTGATAGAACTGTTTCAATTGAGTCCCTGATAGACTTTCCTAGAAGAAATGCACCCACAAATTCCTATCAGCAGTGTGTGGCTGAATCTTCCTGACATAGGATTTTAGATGCAGCTTAGGACAGGAGACACCGTCATACTTAGAAAATGTGGGAACTATGAAATTCTGGGGAATGACCACTCCAGAGACCAGCCCTAACTCTTCAAAATCCAGACCAGGTACCCTGTGAATTTCCATAGCATTAAGACATCCTCCAACTTCTTGTATTTATCACCAACAGGAGGATACTGTTCCTCAGAGTAATCAGCTTCTTCTTCATCAGTTCCTAGATTGTTGTTTTCTTCTGTTGGCTTCTCTTCTTGATTGTCCCCCTCTTTGACGGGGTTTTGAAATCTAGAGCTCACTTGGCTGGTCCTCTAAACCTTCTTCCTATATTCAAGATGCCGACCAGTTTCTTTGCCTTCTTCTTCTCTTTGGTGATGAGAGATTTCAGATCTTCTTGCCCCTTAGCCAAAGCCAGGAACATTTGCTGGAATTGAGCATTTTGTGCTTGAAGATCCTTAACTATTTGTTCAAGAGCCATTTCTTTTTGCTGAAATAAACAGCGAAAAGATAAGAAACCTGTCTTGAAATACTTGCTTAATGTAATGATATGCATGATAATATTTATGCAATGTTTTCAAGTACTTCAGGAAATTTAAATTTGCGAACCAAAATGAAACAAAGGTTTTATTAGTAAGATTCAAATTACATCTGCCTTTTAGGCTTACAATTGAAAATTGGAAACTCTTAAAATCTAAGAATGAAATTTCCCATGGTGCTTCCTTTTCGTGTCGAGGTAAACATTAAGACTTTTTTCTTTGTGAAGTTGCTCTGTGAGCTCTAACACTTTCTTCTCAGTGGTGTAGAATTGATCTCTAAAGGTATCCCGTTCTTCCTTTAGCTGAATCCAGGACCTCTGCAACTCTTCAAGATCAGTGGACATGTCAGGATGGAGAACTGTATAAGGAACATCTTCTTCGGTGACAGGTTCCACAATCACTGGTAAGATGGTTGTATATGGCATCATACGATATTGGGCGCGAGCTCATACCCATTTGAGATAAGACTCCATAGGGATGAAATTCTTGTTCCCCAAAGCCTTACTATCAACCTTGTTTACCATTCCCCAAGCTCGTACGAACCTTTGACGATACCCTTGAACATCATCCTCGTAGTTAAACACAATGCCTTTGATAAACATATCATGGGGACCATCCCTTCGAGCATAACTGAATTATTATAGAGCAAGAGAAGGATTATAAGTGATACCTCCCCTAATGCCGAGGAGTGAGACGTTAGGGAATTCCCCACAATGGTCAATGATAGAAATATCTCCCATGGATCGGGAGTACCAAAGACTATCCGAGTGCGAAAGTGATATAATTCTTTGTGACCAACTCGAACCTTGTTCATTCTTCAATGCTGATTGTGGAAGGTGCGAAATAAACCACCTAGACAGCAATGGTATGCAACATATAAGAACCCCTCTTCTCTTCATGGTACAAGTGTGAAGGGAATGCAAGATATCTCTGAGCAAAGTAGGAACAGGGTTACGGGAGAGAAAAACCTTGACATCATTCATATCTATGAGTAAGTCTGGATTAGGGAACAATACTAACCCATAGATTAGAAGAGCTAGGACTTTTTCGAAAGCTTGGAAATCTAAATCATCCCAAAACAATTGAGCTTTTTCTAGTAGGAACTTGACTAGGAAACCATTGACTCCACTTCTTGTTTCCCAGTTGGATATAATGTCATACCGTTTCAGATGCAAGGCTGCTGCAATGACCTCTGGTGTTGGAGCCTCTTCTAAACCGGTGAAAGGCATCTGATCCAGAATGGGTATACCTAATAATGGAGATAACTCTTCCATGATGGGTACCAACTGATAATCGGGAAATATAAAGCAATGGTGTTTGGGGTCAAAGAACTGAAAGAGTACCCCCATCATCTTCTCATTAAAGTTTGAGGTAATCGGGTTGAGAAAGTCGACCATATTTCTTGGTGAACGAAGAAGTCTCAGGAACCTTTGATACTAGTTCTCTGAGTTGGAGAGGTATTCTCACAAAGCTGATTCAGATGGTATTTCTCCGAACAGAAGCCATGATCTACAAAACAAAACAAAGATAAATTCCATTGGTCCTTGAAATGGTTAGCGAAATGAAAATTAATGTCATGATGCATGATGTTATGCTTGAAAAATTTAATCACGCGCGAGCAAATCACACAAGACCTTAGGTTTAGGCTTGCATGAGGTTTATAGGCAAATACCCTATTGAAGTTTAGTTGGTTCAACCTGTCCTAGAAAATTAATCGGGTTCTAAGGAGTCTCAATATCACTGATCTTTCTTTATCAGACATTGTTTCAGCTCAAGCAATCTTTTCTCACGGCTGAAATATCCTGAAAGTCCGATCTCAATTAGTGTAGCATAGATTATCAACCAATCCTCAGCTTTATACTGAGGCCGGCTATCTTACTACTTTCTAATGGCCAAGTTTATTCAACTAAGGTTCTAAGGTCAGTTAGTGCTTTATGACACCACACAGCGGCCCCGTATTCTCCTCGATTTAACATAAGGGATACCAGTACCAATAAATGTGTCACACTAACATAGCTATCGCTTCAACCATATCGGTCTATGCCGTATAGTCTCCATGATCTATTACTGCTTACCTAAAAGGTACCCCAGATCAGGGTGTAGGATCTTTTAGTAACAACCCAAGGCCAGTCCCAAAGATGATTTCCCACTACCATACATTGATGTCTTGGTTGACAACACGGGGTTGCTCGAAAAGAAGAATCTCGAGGATAAGCTGGCCAGTCTGAGAGCTGTGGTGACGCCTACCGAGGATGAATCCGAAGGGACAAAAGCCTTAAAGACCTGCTCTGAGTTCAATGCTCGGATTTGGGTCCTCGAGTCAGACTGTGTGGAGGCGACGACAGTTGGTTTTGACACCACGGTGAACCAACTCGAGCTGCTGAACCCTAGGCTCAATACCAAAGGGATCGGGTTCCTTTCTCAGGTGGTTGACGATAAGCTATTTCCTCCCACCAACTCTCTCGACGACAATGAAGATGATGGTCGCAATGTAGAGTGATTTCAGTTTGTTTCCTATTTTTTCTAGTTTTTTGGGCCTACGTGCCCGTATTTTTTGATTGGTCCTGCGTGCTCGTATTTTGTATAATATTTGGATAATGGGCTTTGCCTGACTTTTTGTAATACTTTGATAATACCGACATGAGTGGTTGGCATTTTAAATGTTGTCTTTCGTATGTTGTTTGTTTGAATGTGTTACGATTTTGCTAAGTATTTTGCTTTTGTCATCGTTGCTTATGCTCGCAACATATGAGGGTTCTTGCTCGATGCTCTGGTACCAAAGTAAGTTTCAGAGAAACGATGCAAGTAGAGTGTAAGTGAGTAGAAAACAATGTACTTAGTCCTCTAGTGAAAGAGAGTATTTATAGCCTCCAGCGCCGGGTCAAAGTTTTTATTTGGGATGGATGCCCATACCCATAATAAAGACTGTCAGGGTCCTACATGGGTAGAAGAGACCAGTTCATGGTCTCTATCTTGATTCAACTGCTCCATAATTTTCGGAGGTAATGACCCGTTCTTTTCGAGAGCAGGGTGACTCCGTGATATTCGAAGAACCGTTGGTCACGTTTTCTTGGTGCAAGACGTGGATGGGAGATCCTCGACGTGTCCTTGACAAAGGTGTTCCCTAACAGCTATAACAACTCGGGCCACTACGGTGGAACCTCCTCGGAGTAGTACTTGGTTGGACCTGCCCGACTGGAGGCCAAATGCAGACCTGATTTCCAACAAGTTATTATGCCTCTTGCAATATTGGGCCAGACCTTACCTGACGACAAATTAAGTACAAGCTCAGTCTAAAACAATTTTGTTTATAAAAATTAATTTAATTAAAATTGAAGCGTGAAAAAAAATTAAATTATATATAATACATAATTATTCTTATTTTATATTGATGATATTAAAAAAGAATACTTTTAATCAATTCTTCATTCTTAAACATTTGTCTCATGTTTTGATTTAAACTAAATAATTTGTCTCAACTAAATATTATAAAGGTTTTGATGTGATTTTATAAAAACACCTCAGAATGGACTGAATTGTCAAAACCCAACCAACTTGAACTAATAAGTACATTTTAATACTTTTTACTTTTTATATATTTGTATTACATCAAACTTTTATTAGTTGATTTTGATTTGTTTTAATAAAGTTATTAGTTTAACTTATTTATTTTTACTGTTTAATTTTATTTATTCAAATAATATTTTTACTATTTTATATTATATGTCATAATTTTTTTATAGAACTTATCATTTTAACATGTTTTTATAATATTAAAAAGACTCGATTCAAAATGAACTATATTAAATTAAATAAGTTCAAATAATTTTTTTTAATATTATTATTCATTGAACTGAATTATATAAACTTTTATTTTTGATAAGCGATATCACACATGTCATCTCATCTCATCTGTAATAATACACGCGTGTGATGAAAATGATAAACAGCGCGTGGCGAAGCCAAGAAAGAAAACTTGAAAATGTCGCCACGATGACCCTACGGTAGGCATGGAAAAACAAACCCCAACAACCAGGACCAGCCACCACCGTATCGTACCTTCTCCGCCAAATATCCAACCACTCTCCAACAACCGCACTTTCCCTCAAACATTTTCACCCCAATGGAACCCCAACCTCAACCAATTTCACCTCCGATGGACGCTCCCGACGATCTCTCCTCCGTTTGGGACCTTAGCTACCTCCTCGACTTCAATCTCGACGACGACGCCTCACTTCCCTTAAACCTCCACAACGAACCTCCACTCCCCCCTCCAATTCCAAACCCTAATCCTCCGGAGAATGACAAGATCCGAAAGCGTGACCCGAGACTTACTTGCTCCAACTTTCTCGCGGGTCATGTACCTTGTGCATGCCCCGAACTCGATGCGCTGCTTGAAGATAACGGTTTACCAGGCAAGAAACGCGCTCGAGCTGTACGTGCGTCTGCATCGGCGCGTTGTCAAGTTCCTGGTTGTGAAGTTGATATCTCTGAACTTAAAGGCTATCATCGACGTCATAGGGTTTGTTTGCGATGCGCTAATGCTGTTACTGTTCTTATTGATGGTGAGGCGAAAAGATACTGTCAGCAGTGTGGAAAGTAAGATTGAAGTCAATTAGTTTATGTTTGCTTTCAGTTAGATCATTTTATGGTATATTGATTTGTTGATGTTCCAGGTTTCATGTTTTACCGGATTTTGACGAAGGGAAAAGGAGCTGTAGAAGGAAATTGGAGCGTCATAATACTAGGAGGCGGAGAAAGCCTGCAGATTCTGTAGTAGCAGCTGATCATGAAGTTCAAACTGTTACTCAGAATGATGATTCCAATTGTGATGGAGAAGCAGGCTTAGGTTGGTTGGTTTATATTCTGGATCAGGATCACATTATTACTTTGTCAACTGTTAAGTCAATGGTTGAATAATTGTTTTTTTTCTTCTTGTGCGTAGGATGGCATGTTGTAATTTGATTTGCTTGTGGTTTTTATTCACTGGATGTGTATGGATCTTGCAGATTATTCGAATTTCAGTAGTGAAAATGTTGAAAAAAGAGTGTCTCTGGATCATGAAGAAGAACCGGTTATTGTTGGGTCCTCAACTCCAGAGACCCAGAATGTTAATGGGGAGAGTGGTGTGTCGTTTGTTGCTTCTGCTGAAACCCAAGCTAATATTGGAAATGATGTTTCCAATCTTTCCAAATCGCCTTCATATGGTGACAATAAGAATGATTATTCATCTATGGTGGGTTGCCCTGCTTGTTTATTGCTTTTCTTTCATGTGTTTATTTTTGCGAGATATTGTGTTTGGTGTTTTCTGATTGAACGTTTGCTTGTAGTGCCAAACAGGTCGGGTTTCTTTTAAGCTTTACGATTGGAATCCTGCAGAGTTTCCTAGAAGGCTACGGCTCCAAGTATTTAAAGCATTTTTGTTACAGTTTAGTATTTTGATTGTGGCATGGTTTTCTGCCATCTACGTGTTAGTGACTGATTAACAAGCTGTCAAATGTTTTTGCAGATATTTCAATGGTTGTCAAGTATGCCTGTGGAGCTAGAGGGATATATCCGCCCTGGGTGTACAATCCTGACAATATTTATTGCAATGCCAAATATTATGTGGATAAATGTAAGAGTTCTGTTTGATGTTCTTGACATTATAGTTCTAGTACCATATCTTAAGTGGCCGCAAGGTTTAAAATGAATGCTTTCTGGTTAAGTGCCCCGTATTAGATTTTATGGTTCTTTGTTAAGCTCATTCTCACAATTGCTAGTTTTGCTTTATTGAGACGTTTGTTTGCGTTCCAATAAGTTATGTACCACCTTTTACATTTCTCCACACCCTCACTCTACGAATCGGGAATTTCATTAATCAACTTATAGAAAGAATTAAAAACCCGTTATCAAGTTTTAACTGAATTTGATTGGTTCATATTTTCTCCCTTTTTGATTTATGACTTCATTTTGTGTCTCTTATGGATCAACCAGTTACTCAAAGACCCTATGTATTATGTGCGTGATCTTGTTGCTCCCAAAAAGATGCTATTTGGAAGAGGCACTGCTCTAATTCATCTGAATGACACGATCTTCCGTGTTATGAAAGGTTTTTTTTCCTTCTGTTTCATTTGTTTCCTTCTTATTTTTGGTTCACTCTTCCCCCTAAATTATTTGAGTTGTTTTTCTTGAAGAGTATTTTAGAACCTGATTGTTAAGAGTTATGATTACCTCTTAAGTGTGTTGTTGCTCCATCTCAGAGATATGGAGCATTGTATTTCTGATTCTTATGAAACAAATTGAACGATTGATTCTTTAATTGTATTGCGTAATTAATACAAGTTTTTGTTATTGAGTTATATGCTTTAAATTCCTTGGCTGGAGGCTTTCAATTTGTCTAAATTGGCCAGTACGTTTCAATGATTACAGATGGAAGTTCTGTGACAAAAGTCGAGGTAAACATGCATGCACCTAAGCTTCATTACATTCACCCCACATGCTTTGAAGCAGGAAAACCCATGGAATTTTTTGCTTGTGGAAGTAACTTGCTGCAGCCTAAGTTTCGGTATGTTGTTTCACCTCTTCTAAACATCATTTAAAGCAGATTTTTACCATATTCATTCGACAGATGAAAGCATATTTATTTGCATTTGTGCATTATATATATTTTTGGCTGGGAAAACACGCAGGTCATAAGGAGAGTTATAGAAACTAGAGCCACGCAAAGGCAACTAATAGAAGAAAAAACTTAGTAATGGAACTGTGTTTGTATTATTCCTGAAATGAAAATATTAGTGGAATGAATGTCTATATTGCCTATAGATGAGCTCCTACTCTGTCCGTATCTAACTGATTTTGCAAGATATGTTTCTCAATCCCTCATATAATAGAACCCTGCAGTGCGATTTCCCCCCTCCCTCACTCCCCTGCCAGGTGGATGTTCCCATTCTCTCCCTAATTATTCTACATAAACCTGCAAGTCCCTGGACTTGGTCAGCTGCTTTGATAACAGGCTATTTGGAATCCAATTGTCACTCGATGTCCCAACCAACAGAAAGGGATGGAAGGTAATGTTGAATGTTATGACCGAGAAGTGAGATTGCAGCATTTGAAGATCTCACTGAATCTAAAGTATAAACCATTCTATTAACTTTGAAAAGAAATCTAGGCTCACATATAATTGATCGATGGAAAAAAAGTAATGACCAACATGATACATTGTTTTGTGATTGATTGGGCTTTAGATTCATAATTTCATACTGATTGCATTGTCTTGAGATTATCCAACACTTTGTAAGTTTTACCAAATTTGCCCCACCTTTGTAAAAATTGCGATTTATGATGCATATTCTAGTTCCGCTACTTCTGTTTTTAAGATCACTGCAGAACATGTATTGGGACTATATTTTAAGGAAAAAAGAGAGGGCAGTGACTGTTCTCATAAGCATGCAATGGCTCTAATCTGTTCAAAAGAAAAGAGAAAGGCGAAGACTTCTAACAATAGACAAAGAGGCTGTTGGAATTTCCACCTTCATTGCGGTCCGCCACTAGTAGCCTAAATTGTGGCATTTGGCTTGTCTCCAACACCTTCATTGTGTTGGGTTTGAAGGGGTGGATTTTTCTTAGAGACATGGCCTGTGTTAAGTGGGGGCAATTCTCACCTTACAAACCAGTTTTGTAGGGATGAGTTAAGGCCCAACATAAATTCTAAGATGGTATTAGAGCCTATCCTAGATCACTTGTTGGGCTTCTAGCATCGTCCACGCTTCGGCCTCATTGTGTGTTGAAATTTCCACCATCATTGTCGTCCGCCCCTAGTTGCCTAAATTGTGGCATTTGGCTTGCCTTTATTGTAGCCCCCAACACCTTCGTTGTGTTGGGTTTGAAGGGGTGAATTTAGTCCCATTGCTTAGAAATATGACTTGTGTGTTTATAAGTGGGTGCAATCATTTTTTTACAAGTTGGTTTTGTAGAGAAGAGTTAGACCCAACTCTAATTCTAAGAGAGGCGATAAGATTTACCATGGGATGGAAAGGGAAAGAGGGAGGGGGATAGATTCTTTTCTCCCAATACACAAAAAAGGGGAGAAATGAATTTACCATGGAAAAAGAGAGAAGAGGGGGAGACACAATAGAATCGGGTTTTCTTGGTGAAAGGGGGTAGAGCAAGAGATACTTTCCTTCTGCGAGCAAATTAATGTGCGGGGGGATAAACATTTAAAAGTAATAATAGTTATATATAAATGTAATTAATCATTGTTAAAAAGAGGCTTTGATATGAATGCATTGAGAAGAACAAGCAACTGATAATAAATGTAGCTTTAAAAATGCTAAGAAAATGAGATATATAATCTTATTCATTATTATTGCTTCCTGATAGCTTTTCTCTTGATGTGTTTTCATTTTGATTTATTTTTCATCAGGACTGTTTGGCTATTAGTTAGTATATGAATGTAGAGCATACATATTAATTTAATGATGCTTACTATCTAATTAACATGCCATTCTTTTTTTAAAACTCGGTATCCGGCCATAGGACCTAGTACTAATCCTAATCCGGGGGACGGATCCCATTTAAGTATGCCCTTATGTACTACATACTTGATTTGGTAAAACACCGCATCACTGCTTCCTGAAGAAAACTAAATACTAGATACTGCAATTGTATATGTTTTATTTAGGAATGAATATCCTTAATAGGGGTTGCATTCCCCTACTAGCTGCACAGTTTAGCTGGTGCTTCCTTTTGTTATTAATCTTTTTGGTGCCACTCCAATTTTTTAGTCCGACACATGTTTATGCTCATTTTCAAATGTATCATATTTGTTTGGTTAGTTTATATTTGGCTCACTTATCAATGCACTGTTGACTGTAATGAGGTTGTAATAATGGCAGGCTTCTTGTATCATTTTATGGAAAGTATATGAAGTACGAGTATTGCGTTCCGTCTCCACATAACTGGAGTGAAGACAGTATTTCTTGTGCTTTTGACAATCAGTTATATAAGATATGTGTCCCTCATATTGAGGAAAATCTCATGGGCCCTGCATTTATTGAGGTAGTTATCGACATCTATTTGTTTCCTTAACTATGCATTGGCCTCGATTTTTTATTTCCTGTTTGCTATGTTTCACAGCACGTTTGAGATCACTTAACGCGGGCCAATACTTACTTCTGGCATGCTTTCTTTTAGATTTGTTAATTTCATATGCATTATTTGCAATTAAATTGTCTATATGACATAATATTTTAGCATTTGTTCTAGAAAGCCATTTAACAAATTGAGGAGTATTGGAGTTTTAATGGACGCAATTGAGTACTTTGAGCTTAAGAATTTGGTTTAGTTTGGAAGTGTCATATTTTTGCTGGCAATTCCCTTTCTATATGTTCTTTGTTTTTTTGATTTCTGATATGAAAAGTTAAACAGCTAGAGGTATAGGAAAACCTAGTAAAACTATAAGATGTTATTAAGAAAGATCTCGAGATTAGCAATTTGGATAGAAGCATGGTCCTAGATAGAACATTATGGCAGAAGTTGATCCATGTAAGTCGACCCCACTTAATAGGATGAGGCTTGGTGGTTGTTGTTGTTGTTGCTACTGTTGTTGTTATGATAAATTGATTTCAATGCATCAATAGATAATCACAATCTAACATGCAAAATTATAGCATAGCCATGAAAAGTCTTACCGGTATTGAATTCTGCACTGATATTTTATTGCTTCTTTTCATTTACTAATTTATTCTAATATAAAATATTGAATTAGGAGAAACTAAGAGACATTTAGGTTTAATCGTGTGTTTTAAAAAGCACTACAGAGACTTTATTATATATATAGAGATTACAACTAATGCTATGATATAGTCGATGTGGGACTATTCTACATACAAATATTCTTAACACTATATATATACAAATATCAACACTCTCCCTCAAGCTTGAGCATATAAGTCAAATGCACCAAACATGCCACATATATAATTAGTTCTGAGACTTCGCAGGGATTTTGTAAAACATCTGCCAATTGATCATTCGAGTTGACAAAGCATGTGGTGATGTCGCCTGACTCGATCTTCTCTCTGACAAAGTGGCAGTCAATCTCAATATGTTTGGTCTGTCATGGAAGACCGGATTTGAAGCAATGTGTAATGCAACTTGATTATCACAAATAAGTGTCATTGGTCTTGCTTCTTCAATTTTAAGTTCCTTGAGCAACTGTTTTAACCAAACAATTTCACATGTTGCCATCGCCATGACTCTATACTCTGCCTCAGTGCTTGATCTTGCAACTACATTTTGTTTCTTACTTTTCCAAGATATAAGATTTCCTCCAACAAGTACATGATACCTAGAGGTGGATCGTCTATCAATTGGTGATCCTGCCCAATCAGCATCGGAGTATCCAACTATCTGAGTATGTCCTTTATCTTCATACACTAAACCTTTTCTTGAAGCACATTTGATGTATCTCAGAATTCAGATAACATCCATGTGTTTCTGACAAGAGGAATTTAGGAACTGACTTACCATTGGGCTACCTCAATACCCAAGAAATACCGGAGTTTACCAAGATCTTTTGTCTGAAATTGATTCGAGAGATGTTGTTTCAACTGGAGTATTCCCTGCTCATCACTACCAGTTATGACAATATCATCTACATACACAATAAGATAAATACACCATTGGGCTGAGTGACGATAAAAGACAGAATGATCAGCTTCAGTACGGACCATACCAAATTGTTGTACTACAGTGCTGAATCTGCCAAACCAAGCTCTCGGAGATTGTTTAAGACCATAAAGAGACCTGGGTAACCTACAAACCATATTCGATGACTCCCCTTGAGCAATAAACCAGGTGGTTGCTCCATATATACTTCCTCTTCAAGATCACCATGTAAAAATGCATTTTTGATGTCAAGTTGATGAAGAGGTCAATGTCGAATGGCTGCAATGGCTAGAAGAAGTCTAACAGATGCTATCTCGGCTACAAGCGAGAAGGTATCACTATAACCCAATCCAAATATCTGAGTGTATCCTTTGGCTATCAAGTGAGCTTTAAATCGATCAATCTTACCATCTCGACCAACTTTCACTGTATAAAACCAACGACAACCTACTAAAGATTTCCCAGGGGGTAGAGGAACCAATTCCCAGGTACCACTTCTTTGAAGAGCACACATTTCATCAATCATTGCTTGCCTCCACTCAGGGTGAGATAATGACTTCACCTGAAGTGTTAGGAATAGAAACAAAAGACAAAGAAGACAAACAAGTATACTGCAAAGGAGAAAGACGATGATAACATAAATCAATATAATGTGGAGAAGGATTTCGTGTTTGACGTATACCTTTTCGAAGGGCAATCGGAAGATCGGAATCAGGTTGCAGGATTGGATCCGGTGATGGAGAGAGCGTCGGAGGAGAGTCTGCAATGACCTCAGGGACATGTACGACCTCAGGGACTTGTACTGACCTCAGGGACAGGTACAACCTCAGGGACAAGTACGACAGACGTTGATTGACGACGCTGATATGTTTGAAGTGGACGAGAAGTCGGGGTTAACCGTAGGATTATCTAGTGGGCCAGGTTCCCTAGAATGATGGGGGATAATGACATATGGGACTTTCGGAAGAGGTGTAGGAGTACTCTCCTGAAAGGGTTCCGGAGTTACTTGGCTGGACTTGAAACATGGAACAGACTCGAAGAAGGTGACATCGGCCGACATGAGGTATCGTTGTAGGGTATGTGAATAGCAACGTTAACCTTGTTGGGATCGATGATAACAAAAAAAAACACACTTTAGTGATCGAGCTGATAGTTTATCAAGACCAGGAGAGAGATTGTGTACAAAACATGTAGACCCGAAGACTCGGGGAGGAATTGGGTGAAGGGGGGAATGGGGAAAAAAGATTGAACGAGATTTTATTGTTAAGGACAGATGATGATGGCATGCGATTTATAAGGTAACATGCCGTTAGCACAACGTCTCCCCAAAACCGAAGTGGAACATTACCATGGAGAAGTAGCGTCCAAGTGGTTTCTACAAGATGTCGATTTTTGCGTATGGAGAAGTAGCGTCCAAGTGGTTTCTACAAGATGTCGATTTTTGCGTATGGAGAAGTAGCGTCCAAGTGGTTTCTACAAGATGTCGATTTTTGCGTTCGGCTACTCCGTTTTGTTGAGATGTATGAGGACAAGATGTTTGGTGGAGAATACCATTACTGGACATAAAAGTTTGAAATTGTTGGATAAATATTCACGAGCATTATCACTTCTTAAGGTACGAATAGACACACCAAACTGAGTTTTTATTTCTTTATAAAAATTTTCAAAAATAGAAAATTATTCTGATCTATTTTTCATTAAAAATAACCACGTGCAATGTGAAAAATCATCAATAAAGGTGACAAAATACCTAGACTCAAGAGTAGAGATAGTACGTGAGGGACTCCAAACATCGGAGTGAACTAGCAAAAGGGGACGAAACTCGTTTATCGACTCGATTGGGAAATTGACTACGAGTGTTTCCCTAACTGACACGACTCACAATGTAAATTAGATACTTTCGATACACTTGGCACCAATTTCTGTAATTTGGAAAGACTAGGATGACCTAACTGAGCATGGATTGTGAGTGGAGAATCTTTGTCTGAACATGTATGAGATGACACTAAGAGGTAATAAAGGCCTTGAGACTCACATCCGACGCCAATTGTCTGTCCGGAATTAGTAGCGGCGGATGGCGGCAGCAGTCCGGTGGTTACCGGAGAATTTTGGAAAGTGGGAGGCAAACCGGAGTGATGACACGGTTTGCAAAAAAAAATTTGTCACCGGAAGACAGTGGGTCAACCGGGTAAAATACGGGGAAGAATTGCCTCTTAGTAGGCTCTGATACCATATTAAATTAAGAGAGACTAAGAGACATTTAGGTTTAACCGTGTGTTTTGAAAAGCACTAGGGAGACTTTATTATATATAGAGAGATTACAACTAATGCTATGATATAGTCGATGTGGGACTATTTTACATACAAATATTCTTAACACTATATATATACAGATATCAACATAAAGCAAATAAAATTTATCGAATGAAGCTCTTAGACTAAAAGCTGTTGTTATCATGGAAACTATTGTATTTGGGTTTGGTGATGTATTGTTGTAATGTCAGGTCTAGATAAATTGTTGGAACCTTTTGATTTGATGTGATTTTGGAGGTGTGATATATTTGGAATTCTGAATAAATTTCACGGAAAATTTTCTGTACCCCTTCAAATCTTTTACCCGTGTTTAATCTTTTTTTTCTTTCCTTTTTATAGGTTGAGAATGAGTCTGGTTTATCAAACTTTATTCCTGTACTTATTGGGGATAAAGAAATTTGCACTGAAATGAAGATATTGCAACAAAAGCAAGATGTATCTCTCCTTTCGAAACAATTTCGGTCGGCATCTGTTGGTTCTATTTGTAGCTCATGCAAAGCTTTTGTACATATTCATACATCATCATCAGACTTGCTTGTAGATATAGCATGGTTACTTAAGGATCCTACTTCAGAATTTTTTGACAGAATGGTATCTCCTTCACAGATTCAAAGATATTGCCATTTGTTGGATTTTCTAATAAGCAATAATTCAACTATCATTTTGGGAAAAATATTGCCAAATTTGATAACTTTAACAGAAAGCATAAAATCCAGTACAAATGATGTTGACATTGTCCAGCTTCTGAAGTGCATGCATAATGCCAGAGATGCTATTTGTCAGAAAGGTGAAAGTATAGTTTGGAACTCCAAAAGGGAAGGCTTTAAACCTGCCCAGTGCTGTTCTCAAGACGACAAGTTATCAGTTGATGAAGTTAATAGTCAGGTTAGAGCTATTAATTTTGTTTGTTCTATTCCCTTGGCAATGACATGAATTAGTTTTTAGCTTTAAGGTTAAGGTACTCTAACGCTTTATCATAATTAACATGTATCTTATCTTAATACATTGATTGTTTTTGCTTTCCAGGGTATCCGGTTTAATACAGATCCAGAGTTGGGAGTTCTGAGAAGTCTTGCTTTTGATAAAAAAAACCATAAGGTACCACTTTTGAAAAGGGATATTATTATGAATATGGAAGACTTGCCTAATAGACGTGATCATCGAAATCTTACCCGGGGATTCTTGACATCTCGACCGACTATTTTTGTACTTGTTTCGGTTGTTGTTTGTCTAGCTGTATGTGTATCCATCTTTCATCGTGGAAGGGTTACAGAGTTAGCAGTATCCATTAGAAGGTGTTTGTACCATTAGCAATCTTTTCAATTTATTTTATTGTATTTTGTAGCTGGTACATATTTGTTGTAACACTAAATAAACATATGTCATTAGAACAAGTAGGTAGGTATTTGATTACATTGGAACTTGGAAGCTCTGTCCAACCGTGTTGATTTATGGATTTTCAATTTTGATATCCTGTAAAAATTGCTATAGGTGCTAATTATGAACCCAAAATTACGGGCAGAAGGTATAATTAGCCATACTATACGGTTATTACAACATAATAATAATAATACATTTCGTTCATTTTCGTTTCACTATTGTTGTAGTAAAACTTAGCAATGTAATTGTTCTAATTTGCACTAAAGTTTGGTTAAAAGATTAAGAAGAATAAGATAAACTTTCAAATTTGTGATTATGTTGCTGGTATTCTGCAAGTAGCATGTCATGATAAGAAATTCATAGAAATTTAATAAAAAATAATTTTACTAAAAATTAGTTTATGGGTATGGTTATGGAAGATGAGGCTAAATCCGTTTTGAAGTTTTTGTCGGCTTTGAATCTGGTTTTCTGGTTTAGGAAAAACGATCAACATTTTATCATATATATATATACAAGTGAGGTGATATGTTTTTAGATATTTTTTTTCAAATTTCTTGTTTAGGAAAAATGATCAACATTTTATCATATATAAAATTGAGGTGATATGTTTTTAGATAATTTTTTCTTATTACATGTTAGATAAATTTTTTTGTTTGGATTGTAAAATTATTTTGGGAGAAAGCTTAATTATTTAACATAGAATATTCGTTATGAATGTAAAAATCAATTATGAATGTAAGAATCAAGAGGATAATAAAGGAGAAGAAGTCACATATGAGTGTCACTTATTAAGTGATATTATTTGAAGGGTAAAAAACAAGGAAGTTTCCTATATCTCGGAGGGAGAGTTTGAATAATCACAAGAAAGTGCTAATGATATGTTGAATAAGATTTTTCAAGAGATTAGAAATGTAGCTAAAGAGACGTTGAGAGAATTAAGAGGTTTTGGACTTAGGGATAAAGAATTGTGGGGGTGATAGTGTTCTCAGTAAAGTTGGAGTAAAAAATGATTGTTTTAGAGAATTGTCTAGGTGTAAAAATGGTAAAACTTAGAAAAAGTACAAGAAAGATAAGAATGAGACTAAGAAGGAGGTGAATGAAGCAAGAATCTAAATTTTTGACGAATTATACTAATCTTTAGGAATCAAAGAGGGAGAAAAATCTATATAGGAGCTTGTTAGAAAAGAGAGAAAAACAAGAGATTTGAATCAAGTGAAATATGTTAAAGATGAAGAAAGTAAAGTCTTAATTCAGAAAAAAAAAATATAAATCATAGGTGGGTGACATATTTTTACAATTTATTTAATGAAAGATATGATATCTCATCGAACTTTAGCCGATTCGATATTAAATAAGAGAATCAAGACTATAATTACTAATGTCAGATTCATAAACAAGAGGTAAGAAAAGCGTTGAAAATGATGAGTAATAGTAAGACAGTTGGACTAGACAACATATCTATTAAAGTGTGGAAAATTCTTAGAGATAGGGGTATCGAGTGACTCACCAAATTCTTTAATGAAATTATGAAGTCAAAGCAAATTCCAAATAAATGAAGAAGAAACACTTTAGTTCCAATTTATAAGAACAAAGGGATATACGAAATTGTACAAATTATAGTGGATTAAACTTAGGAGTCATACCATGAATTTATAAAAAAATTGATTGAACAGACTAAAAAAAAAACTCATTGAAAATTAATTTGATTTTATGTCTAGAAGGTCAATCATAGTAGAGATCTATCTACTACGATGTGTGATGGAGCATTATCAGATGAACCAACAAGATTTATACTTAATTTTTATTGACTTAGAAAAAGCGTACGATAGAGTTCATCGAGATGTTTTGTGGAAAGCCTTACATAAGAAAGAGATTAGGATTGTATGTATTCGAGCTATATATAGTGAGAATGAATAAATTATATGAGAATGTGAGAATGAATAAGAACCATCAGATTTAAAAAGGAAATGTTAAGGTTAAATTGTGATCTTCACTAAATCACGTGCCATTAAGAGGAAAGAGAAATTATTAATCAAAATTTAAAAATATCTTTTAATCTTAACCATTAAATATAAATTTAATAATTATTATTATATTCTCACTTTCTCATATAATTTATTCATCTTTATATATATATATATATATATATATATATATATATATATATATATATATATATATATATATATATATATATATATATATATATATATATATATATATATATATATATATATATATATATATATATATATATATATATATATATATATATATATATATATATATATCACCATATTAATTAAGTGTTCGAAGATTTGGTGTCCTTTGAGCCTTTATCAAAGATATCCATAATTTATCATGAATTGAACTAATTTTTAGTAAATTATTTTTGTTAAATTTCTAAGAATTTCTTATCATAATTTATCATGAATTAAACTATTTATTTTAAAATAACAACAACAATCAAGTTTTATCCCACTAATTTAGGTTAACTATATGGATTAACTTTCACCATAATGTTCTATCTAGGACCATGCTTTTATCCAAATTGTTAATCATGAGATATTTCTTAATAAATTCTTTTATAGTCTTTATAAGTCTTCCTATTTCTCTGAATGTTTGACTTATCTCTATTTGATCTACTCTCTTTACCACCGAATTTAGAAGTCTTCTCTCTACATGCTCAAACCACCTAAGTCTATTTTCCATCATTTTCTCTACTTTAGGTGTATCCCAACACTCTCTATACTATTTTCATTTCTAATCATATCATATGTCTTATCACACAACTAATACAACATCTTCATCTCTGCTACACTTATTTTACTCTCGTGTTGGTTCTTAACCTCCTAACGATATGTCCCAAACAACATCGTAAGTCTTACCACATTTCGATAAAAAATTCTCTTTAACTTAAGTGGTACCTTTGTGTCACATAAAATCCTTGAATCTCTCCTCCATTTCACTCACCCAGCTTGAATTTAATGGTTTATAACTTCTATTTCACCATCATTTTATATTACAGTCCCAAGATATTTAAACTGCGTGACTTGAAGAATGATATGATCTCCAAATTTTACATCTAGGTTAGAAACACTTCTTCTTTTGTTGAACTTACTTCCCATATACTTCGTCTTATTACTGCTTATGAAAAAATGATGTGTTTCTAAAGCTCGTCTCCAAATCTCTAACCTCTCAGTTAAATCCTTCTTCGACTCTCTAAGTAGGACTATATCATCATCTATAAAAAGTATGAATCTCAGTGCTAGCTCTTCGACGTGTCCCATCAGTACATAAAAAATTAAGGTATAAAGGCAGAGTATAATGGAAAAATGTATGTCTCTCCACCCAGTGCCTGCACACTAGTTCAATTCATGATAAGTTATGTTAAAATATTGAACTTGGATATCCTTGATAAATGCTCAAAGGGCTTGGCCCACCAAATCTCAACACTTAAATAATATGGAAAACACTTAGACGGTAAGTGGTGAGATCACATGGCGAGATTACATGACGAGCAAATGATCAAGGCCATCCCACTTTCTCTTGGGGGAAAGCTAGGCAAGCCCCATTTTACTCTAATTAAATAAGATTCCCTCAAAGTTAAGAGAACTTTTTGTTGGACTGGTCACAATTTCCACTAAATAGGATAACCCACCTTAGTCACTTCTTCAGTGAGTCAACTCCAAAATGTGTAGCTGTTTGTGTAGACGTAAGAACCAGTTTTCTCAGTATATCAGAGTTTCCATTACAAATACTCATCTTCACAGTTAAGTAGATTCATTTACTTTTTACATATTGTTCAGTGTCGGCCAAAGGCCAGTGATCCACCGCTCTGCGACTGGCCAAAAGGCCAATAACTCAAGATCCATTATCCAACCTTCCATGTCAAGCCCAAGTTATAAATATCTTTGAAAATGGTTCTCATAAACACAATCTCTAATATTCATGTTCACTACCACTATCTTGAATCCTAAAGTGACTTGGATGTTGGAGTGCTAACCATGTAGGTATCCCCTAGGTCCACCGTATCAGAGATAGAAAACATCAACTAACTACATTTCATCAAAATCAATACCTATAGTTCAAGAAGCATAATGATTGCAACCTTTGATCAACAATGTCACATCATCGTAGTGCTCTGGAAGCTTTGCTCCACCGTAGTTTATGCATTTCTTTTCATTTCTTGTTCCGCAACAGAACAATGGCGTCATTTATGGGAATGGACTTTCGATTCTTGCAATTCCCATGATTCCAAGTTCAATTCTCATATCTGAACTCCGAAAGTGACTAAGGCGAGGAAATTGAAGTCTCAAGGGGCCGAAATCTCAGATCTATGCCGTTTGGATTCGTCAAACTCCGGTCTAACTATAATAAGTCATTCGTATCGATTTCAAACTAATGTGAGAAGACACTAACATGAACCTACATATCTAGACTCAGATCCACAACCTTCCAACCAGTCCGGCTCATACGCACGAGGTTGAGACCGATTGAGTCCCATTTCGCCATAAGCTCAGTAGCTATGGGTCCATCGCCGCCGAATGGACCTCGTCAAATCTGAGAAAAAGTTCACCATGAATCCAAGCAAGAGCAGAAGAAACCACTTCCAAGAGATGTGACGACATGAATATCTCCTTGATTGACCCCGACCAGATGTCTCGTCATCATACATATACTCTTCCAACTATGATGTCACCATGGAGGATGAAGTTATGGAGTTGACCACCAATTGGTACAAGGTGAAGGGAAATCCAAGGGCCCAATTGCACTTTAGGTCCAGTAACCGGGTGAATAGTAGGTAGTTCCAAACTTTAGACCACCGATAAGCAAGAAGCAACCTGACGTCTCCCAAAAATGAAAGGCGCGTTGCGCGGCCTTAGAAACAACTTCTAAAGATGAGAAGGACACCGAGAAAGATCCGTATGTTACCATTGCTCAGGTTTTACCCATCAACCAAGCAGGTCCCTTCAAGCCCATCATCCAAGTGAGGAATCAGAGACCATGTCCACAAGATTTGTATTTGTAGTGGCCGATGAAGATCCATAGGGGAAAAGGGTCTTGGTCCTTTGAACACACATGTATCTTGGATGTATTGAAGCATCCCCAAATCCATAGGCACCGATCCAATCCAACCCCATAAATCAGAGGCCAATCAAACTGGTCCACCTCAACCCCGAGAGAGTAAGCTGGGAAGCAACCAACAATGGTCAGACATCTCACCAGCCAGGTACCCAGTCCTCCAGACCTGTCGACCATTTAGCTACATAGATGACACATCAGGGGGAAAGAGATCGGTATAAACTTACGACCGATCATAGTGTTTAATTAATGTATTTGTAAATTCATTATATAATAATGAAAAAAAAATATGTATATACATTGCTATTATACTTTTGTTGTTCTATTTTCTGCTTTGTCCCCTCTTTAGGGCACCAAGAACATGAATTCATGTAGCAACGAATCGAGGAACAACTAATGTAACAATCATAAGGTGTTGCTGGAGATGCTTTACATGTCCGACTACATCAATCAAAACCCATGACACTTTGCCTACGTGAAGATTTATAAGTGTTGTCTGATACGTTTGTATGCCTGTGTATAACAATTAATTCCCTGCAATGCCTTGTGCTTCTTTAGAAATAAGGGTTGCTGTCAGATTCCCTTTTTATGCCCAATTATATCAATCAATTCCCTATATTTCCTTGTACATCTTCAGAATCCAGGGAAGTTATGTGTCGAAGATGCTTTGCACGTCCGATACAACAACCAATTCCCCCAGGGGTGCTATTGGAGAAGCTTTACACATTCAAATACATCATTTAAATACCATATGTCAAAGTAATACATGCTTTCACGCGCAACTAAAGCACTCTACTTAGATCTAACTAATCCAAGGGCGAGCGTGGTGAAGCCTGGAGATGTCCACCTCGATCCAAGCTATCACCTTGGGGGCATGAAGGGGGATAGTCTACCTTTCTTCGGGTATGATACTCTATGACGTGGTGCATAATTCAAAGCATGGATGCACCTAGATGATTTCATGTCCCTTGCCTGTAAGTATAATTTGAAACATAACCACAATTAATCAGACTCATGCCTTATCCATATAAACGTGATTAAGGAATTTCCATATCTAGCTGGTTTGGCATGAAATACTTACAGGTAAAACTATGAGCATAAACACCCAAAGTCAAGCTCATATTTCACCTATTCTGATCCATGATAACGTGAAAATACAAAGCTTATTCGACCCGATTTGCATAAATAAAGGTACCGTTTTATCTCAATTATGTTGCATTATATTGGCTCTTCAAGTGTGTTTCAGGTAATTATTCCATCTAAGGCCTACACGAGAAGAGGAGAAGAAATGGAAAAGAAACGGGCTCAAAATCAGAAAAACAAAAGATTTTATATCAGAAGGTTGTGCCCCTCGACACACCTTCCATTCTGCCCGACATATGTCCAATTTTTGTGCCCCTCGGCACACAAGGCATTTCGATCGGCACATAATGTATATCTGTGCCCCACGACACATGTTGCATTCCACTCAGCACAAGATGTTTTCTGTTTTGTTTGACGTGCGAAGATTTCTCCATGATTCCACGAATCTCCAGTGCCAAAAACCTACATTTTTGGAAGCTGAATTTCCTCCTGGTTTTTCTCCACACACAAACTTTTTGGAAGCACGAAGTCACATGCCTAGAATTTCTCAAGCAATTTTTGTTACAAACAGATATATAAAAAGAAGAACAATTACAATCTCAATCTCTCTCGTTCGACATACTTTTGAATTTTCTCATCTCCGTTTGTTTTAGTTTTGTTACATTACTTTGCATTCTGTTTTTTTTTTCTTTCACGCCATTTTTCAGTTTAGCGTTCAAGGTTTGTTTAGAACTTAGGCAGATAAAACCTTCACCCAAACAACAATAGTTTTCTATACTGGGAAACTATTGCAACATTAGATTTTCTTCATAGCCTCCTGAACTTGTATTAGTTTAATATTTTGCTCTGCATTCAAGTTAATTTTCCGCAAGAAAATCCTGCCGGCAAATTATGGAGGATTGCTACAAGTACTTAAAGAATTGCATAAATCTGTTCTCATTATTTAATTCCAGGTTTCTTTTAGTTTAATTTTATTATTGTTTTTATTTATCAATTATTCCTGTATTATTATATGTATGCTATTGTTTTGTGTTCTTAATGAACAATATGTTCGACTAATCTCCCTGATACAGGTATGTAAAGTTACAAACCGAAGGAGTTCGATAATAAATTGGCATAAACATTTTATAAAAATACTTTTCTGGTTTGGTTTCCAATTTTAATATAAATTGTTTTGTTACGAGAGTAAGAGACAAAACAAAGGCTAAAATCAATAATCACGAGAGTGTGAGTTTTTAACCAGATAATGGTCATCAAACATTCATTTTAAATACAACTAGAGTGGCTTACGATTAATTAGACTCTATTTGTTTTCAAAAAGTATCTTTGGATTTTAAATGAGACAACGAGAGCAAGCATTTAAGTCTAATTATATAATCTGAATCAATATCACGAGAGTGTGAGATAAAGGTTTTTAAACTAATAGTTTCTACTAAACAATGTTTTAAATACTAAAAAATATGCTAATGAACTACTAAATTTCTGAAGTTATACTATTACGTACTTATATCCCGCTATTAAATATTTCAATCCAGTCTAACGTTATATTTCGTCTACCCTAAAACCTAAGATTTATTAGCATTAGCTTTACACAGTAGCTTTAGATAGCAATAATTTGATTACCAGTCCCTGTAGGATCGTTATCTTTTAAAACTACGTGATCAAACTGTGCACTTGCAGTTAATACACCTGATAGACTCTTACAGTCACGCGATCAAGTTTTTGGCGCTGTTGCCGGAGACTGATTTAGTCGATATTGTGAATCCTTTGTTATGCAGTATAGACTAAGGCGACCAACTTTATTACCTTTTATCCGTTGATTGTATGCCAAGCACTCGCTCTCCAGGCGAAGATTTAGAGCAACCAATCGACGAAGTCGAGCGTTTTATTAGTATAAGATGCCGAATTAGAGAATACCAAATTAAGTACAATCTTCTTGAATTCAATCTTCCCGAATTCAATCTTCCCGATTTATCTCTTCCTGAACCAAGAATGGCCGAAGGACCCCAAAATCGTCCTTTGAAGGATTATGCTGCTCCATCACAAGAGGAACCTCACAATAGTATTGTTGCTTCCGCTATCGGTCAAAACGATTTCGAGTTAAAACCTTTGTTATTACAAGCTGTCCAACAAAATCAGTTTTCAGGATGTCCTTTAGACGATCCAAATTTACATTTATCCATGTTTGTGCAGTACGCAAACACAATGAAAGCAAATGAAGTCATCCCGGAAGCCATAAAAATTCGTCATTTTCCTTTTTCATTACGAGATAGAGCTAGAGCCTGGCTCCAATCTCTGCCATCCAACTCTGTCACCACATGGAACAAACTGAAGAAAGTTTTCCTAGCGCAATATTTTTTGCCGAGTAAAACGTCTACGCTACGAGCCAATATCAATGGCTTTAAACAAAAGGAAAGCGAATCTCTCTTTGAAGCATGGGAAAGATACAAAGACGTGTTGCGACTCTGTCCACATCATGGTCTAGAAGAATGGCTGATCATCCACACATTTTACAATAGTCTTTTGTACAACACAAGACTAACGATTGACGTTGTAGCTGGAGGCACACTGATGGACAAACCTTATCATGACGCTTATCAACTTATCAAAAGTATGGCTCAAAACCATTACCACTAGGGAGGCGATAGAACCATTATCGAGAAACCTCAGACGAAAGGCGGTATATGCAAAGGTATTAGTTTATACCAAGTTAATGCTAAGTTAGAAGCTCTTACCCAAAAGATAGAAAATTTGACCACAACTCCTGCAGCCACCTTGGCTGCAGTAGCTCCAACATGCGATTTATGCGGACTTCACGCACATGTTACGCCTGAATGTCCACTTTTAACAGGAGTACTAGTTGATCAAGTGAACTATGCTCAAGGAAACCCATACTGGAATACCCATATTCCTACTTGGAAGAACCATCTGAACTTTTCGTACAAGAATAATAATGCGTTATATCCACCTAGACAAGCTCCTACTACACCCACAGGATACCAAAAAGCTGCCCAAATTACTTCAAATGTTCCTAGGAAATCCAATATAGAGATCATGATAGTAAAATTCGTAGCTACACAAGCTCAACAAAAAAAATATTTTATAAATCAAAACATACACACTAGCGAACAAATTAAGTAGTTATCAAACAAAGTTGATGCCCTCGCCACTCATAACAAAATGCTTGAAATGCAAATCTCTCAAGTGGCTCAACAACAAGCTGCTACAACAGCTGACACTTTTCCTGGACAACCATAACAAAATCTGAAAGGTCATGCTAATGCAATAACACTTCGAAGTAGAACGGAAGTAGAAGGACCCACTGACCCAAGAATCAAAAGTCCAACCATGTACTAGAGCACTGGTAAACCAACTGAGAAGGAAGACGAACCAAAAAATGATGAGAAGGAAGATGAAAGCGTAGAGGTAGAAGAGAAAGAAAAACCCTATGTACCTCTACCACCGATACCATACCCTCAACGATTAGCTAAATCTAAAAATATAGGGCAATTTAAGAAATTCGTTGAACTTCTGAAACAACTAAATATCACTACACCTTTTACAAAAGCCATCATGCAAATGCCCTCATATGCTAAGTTCCTTAAAGAAATCTTATCCAATAAGAAAAAGCTCTAAGACAATGAAACTATTATGCTTACTGCAGAATGTAGCGCTATAATCCAAAATAACATGCCCCCTAAGCTCTAAGACCCTGGTAGCTTTTCCATACCATGTGTAATAGGAAAGTTTGTCATAGACAAAGATCTATATGACTTAGGAGCAAATATAAGTCTAATGCTCTTATCTATTTGCAAAAAAACTAAATGTGGGAGAATTACGACCAACAAGAATGTCCATACAACTAGCTGATCGCTCAGTGAAGTTTCCTCTAGGAATGCTCGAAAACATGCCTGTACGTATTGGAAAATTTTATATCCCCACATACTTCATTATTATGGATATCAAGGAAGATCCCAACATCCCTATTATATTAGGAAGACCATTCCCCGCCACCGCTGGAGCCATCATATATGTAAAAAATGATAAACTCACTTTTGAGGTTGGCGAAGAAAAAGTCGAATTCATCCTCTCAC